CTGTATAAACATCAGAGGTCCATGGTTGTTAAACATCCTCCCAGCGAGCATAAGAAATATTGCCGGAACAATCGTGGACATCTTCAAGAGAAAACTAGATAATTTTCTCCAAGGAGTGCCGGACAAACCGGGCTGTGGTGGATATATGGGCCTGCGGGCCGCTGCAGACAACAGCCTAGTGAAGCAAACTCTCACAAGTCAAGCCTGGCCTCGGGCCGGGCTTGGGGAGTAAAAGAACTCCCAGAACCCCATCAACCAGGTAATAAGGCGGAAAAAAATAGGCAGATTCTTTCACCATGATGGGCCTATTCAGCTAGCAGTATATAGGTACCTTTCCAGCTAGACAGCTGGCACCGGCTGCTTCCTGGGGATGTGTTTTCACCTAGCTGTACTCACCTAGTTGTGCTTGCGAGCGGGTTGAGCTTTGGCTCTTTAGTCTCGCCTCTCCACCGTTAATCAACTAGTGTACAGATTCCTGAGCCTTCTGGGTTCTATCATATCTACATTTGAAACTGTGTATGGAGTCAGCCTCCACCACATCACTTCCTAGTGCATTCAATTTGTTAACTACTCTGCCACTGAAAAAATTCTTCCTAATGTCTCTGTGGCTCATTTTAAGTACTAAGTTTCCAATTGTTTCCCCTTGTTCGTGTTCCACCTGTGCTAAAGAATTTGTCTTTGTCCACCCTGTCAATTCCTCTGAGGATTTTGTAGGTGGTTATCATATCTCCCCTTAAACTTCTGTTTCCCAGGGATGTGAGGTTTAGCTCCCTTAGCTTTTCCTCGTAGCTCATACCTCTCAGTTCTAGGACTAGTCTGGTCGCATACCTCTGAATCTTCTTTAACTTTGTCTTATGTGTAACTAAGTACGGACTTCAGGCAGGAGCTGCATATTCCAGGATTGGTCTGACGTAAGTGGTAAACAAGATCCTGATCGATTCCTTACACAAGTTTCTAAAAGCAGTTCTTATGTTAGCCAATCTAGCATATGCCGCTGATGATATCCTTTTGATGTGGGCCTCTGGGGACAGGTTCAGTAAGATATAAAACTCCTGTGTAAGATCTGGGGTATGAGCATACTCCACACACCACATACATATCCCCCACACCACAAACATATCCCACATACCACAAACATATCCACCACACCACATGCATCACCCTCACACCACATACATTACACCCACACCACATACATCACCCTCACACCACATACATTACCACCACACCACATGCATCACCCTCACACCACATACATTACCACCACACCACATACATCACCCTCTCACCACATACATTACCACCACACCACATACATCACCCTCACACCACATACATTACCACCACACCACATACATCACCCTCTCACCATATACATTACCACCACACCACATGCATCACCCTCACACCACATACATTACACCCACACCACATACATCACCCTCACACCACATACATTACCACCACACCACATACATCACCCCCACACCACATACATCACCCCCACACCACATACATTACCACCACACCACATACATCACCCCCACACCACATACATCACCCCCACACCACATACATTACCACCACACCACATACATCACCCCCACACCACATACATTACCACCACACCACATACATTACCACCACACCACATATATTACCACCACACCACATACATCACCCCCACACCACATACATTACCACCACACCACATACATTACCACCACACCACATACATCACCCCCACACCACATACATCACCCCCACACCACATACATTACCACCACACCACATACATCACCCCCACACCACATACATCACCCCCACACCACATACATTACCACCACACCACATACATCACCCCCACACCACATACATTACCACCACACCACATACAGACCCCCACACCACATACATTACCACCACACCACATACATCACCCTCACACCACATACATCACCCTCACACCACATACATTACCACCACACCACATACATTACCACCACACCACATACATTACCACCACACCACATACATTACCACCACACCACATACAGACCCACCACACCACATACATCACCCTCACACCACATACATCACCCTCACACCACATACGGACCCACCACACCACATACATTACCACCACACCACATACATCACCCCCACACCACATACATTACCACCACACCACATACGGACCCACCACACCACATACATTACCACCACACCACATACATCACCCCCACACCACATGCATTACCACCACACCACATACATCACCCCCACACCACATGCATTACCACCACACCTCATACATCACCCCCACACCACATGCATTACCACCACACCACATACATCACCCCCACACCACATACATTACCACCACACCACATACATTACCACCACACCACATACATTACCACCACACCACATACATCACCCTCACACCACATACATCACCCTCACACCACATACATCACCCCCACACCACATACATCACCCCCACACCACATACATTACCACCACACCACATACATCACCCCCACACCACATACATTACCACCACACCACATACATACCCACACACCACATACATCACCACCACACCACATACATTACCACCACACCACATACATACCCCCACACCACATACATCACCACCACACCACATACATTACCACCACACCACATACATCACCCTTACACCACATACATCACCCTCACACCACATACATCACCCTCACACCACATACATTACCACCACACCACATACATCACCCTCACACCACATACATCACCCCCACACCACATACATTACCACCACACCACATACATCACCCTCACACCACATACATCACCCCCACACCACATACATCACCACCACACCACATACATTACCACCACACCACATACATTACCACCACACCACATACATCACCCTCACACCACATACATCACCCCCACACCACATACATTACCACCACACCACATACATCACCCTCACACCACATACATCACCCCCACACCACATACAGACCCACCACACCACATGCATTGCCACCACACCACATACACACCCTCACACCACATACATTACCACCACACCACATACATCACCCTCACACCACATACATTACCACCACACCACATACATTACCACCACACCACATACATCACCCCCACACCACATACATCACCACCACACCACATACATCACCCCCACACCACATGCATTACGTATATCTAAAGTAAAGGAAATATTAAGTTTGTATATTTTTGTGTGTAAGCCAAGTTTCTCAGCATCTATTATTGTGTTATGATAATAATTATTAGTAAAGTCTTTAATTATTTATGGTTATTGCTTACTGCTGCAACTATCACACCATAAAGATCTTTAGCAGTATTATTTACTTTGTTTTACTATTTTATATATAATGTGCGTAAGGCAGCTCTCCCTATAACACGTCACACACGTCTCATGGTGTCTATAATGTATGGCTCTTAATGGTGTCTATAATGCATTACCCCTCATGGTGTCTATAATGCATTACCCCTCATGGTGTCTATAATGCATTACCCCTCATGGTGTCTATAATGCATTACCCCTCATGGTGTCTATAATGTATTGCCCCTCATGGTGTCTATAATGTATTGCCCCTCATGGTGTCTATAATGTATTGCCCCTCATGGTGACTATAATGTATTGCCCTTCATGGTGTCTATACTGTATTGCCCCTCATGGTGACTACAATGTATTGCTCCTCATGGTGTCTATAATGTATTGCCCCTCATGGTGACTATAATGTATTGCCCCTCATGGTGTCTATAATGTATTGCCCCTCATGGTGTCTATAATGTATTGCCCCTCATGGTGACTACAATGTATTGCCCTTCATGGTGTCTATACTGTATTGCCCCTCATGGTGACTACAATGTATTGCCCCTCATGGTGTCTATAATGTATTGCCCCTCATGGTGACTATAATGTATTGCCCCTCATGGTGTCTATAATGTATTGCCCCTCATGGTGTCTATAATGTATTGCCCCTCATGGTGACTATAATGTATTGCCCTTCATGGTGTCTATACTGTATTGCCCCTCATGGTGACTACAATGTATTGCCCTTCATGGTGACTACAATGTATTGCCCCTCATGGTGTCTATAATGTATTGCCCCTCATGGTGTCTATAATGTATTGCCCCTCATGGTGACTATAATGTATTGCCCCTCATGGTGTCTATAATGTATTGCCCCTCATGGTGTCTATAATGTATTGCCCCTCATGGTGACTATAATGTATTGCCCTTCATGGTGTCTATACTGTATTGCCCCTCATGGTGACTACAATGTATTGCCCCTCATGGTGTCTATAATGTATTGCCCCTCATGGTGACTATAATGTATTGCCCCTCATGGTGTCTATAATGTATTGCCCCTCATGGTGTCTATAATGTATTGCCCCTCATGGTGACTATAATGTATTGCCCTTCATGGTGTCTATACTGTATTGCCCCTCATGGTGACTACAATGTATTGCCCTTCATGGTGACTACAATGTATTGCCCCTCATGGTGTTTATAATGTATTGCCCCTCATGGTGACTATAATGTATTGCCCCTCATGGTGTTTATAATGTATTGCCCCTCATGGTGTCTATAATGTATTGCCCCTCATGGTGACTATAATGTATTGCCCTTCATGGTGTCTATACTGTATTGCCCTTCATGGTGACTATAATGTATTGCCCCTCATGGTGACTACAATGTATTGCCCCTCATGGTGACTACAATGTATTGCCCTTCATGGTGACTATAATGTATTGCCCCTCATGGTGACTACAATGTATTGCCCCTCATGGTGACTACAATGTATTGCCCTTCATGGTGACTATAATGTATTGCACTCCCTGTATATTATAATATATTTCAAATCAATGAGATGCCTCTAAGTATAACATTAAAAATATAATATTATCAGATAAAGGTCAATGTGACTTACTGTTGAGGCTGTTGAGGAGGGAGGCAGCGAGGGCGGTGAAGGGAGGGCGATGGTGCGTGCTGCCCTCCGCTGCCCTCCTTAACTTCCACTCTGTTGAATGACTAAGTTGGAATACTCTGCGACTGTCCTCGGGTCCGATGGTTAAGGTCAGGTTATTGTTGACCTGAAGCACAAGTGTTGCTCTTTATCCTTATATTACACAGAAACAACACAATAACGAATAGGCTTATCCTGCGGTGAACTTTACTCCTAGTGTGTGTTAACTATGGGCAACAGTACTCACTTTGACATATCTTTTCAAAAGTAATGGTTGCGTTTGTGTGTTGCATTATGTCGACATATATGATATTTGTCCCTTAAGTTAACTTTTATAACACTTTTCTATAGTATTATTAATACAATCAGAAGTAACATGAAAAATTATGCTGACCACTTAATGCACATTTTAATATATGAAAAAGTACAACCAAGAAGATTAAAGAAAAAAATGTGAGACATTATATAGAAGGCAAATTACTCCTGAGTCACGACATAATATGACATCATAACATCGTCACGACGATGTTACGATGTCACAAGATCGTCGTGACATGAGTCACGACGATCTTTAATACTAATTAAACCATTCCAAAAAAGACTGTAACGTCCTCTTTACATATAATTATTAATTGTGAAGGAGTCCATGACATGTGTGGTGTCGTGCCAAGCGTGAGGAAGGCCGTGAGTGCACGTTGAGAACAGTTTGTCTACTCTAAACCATTCATGAATAATTGGACTTTTACATGAGCAAGAATACCATGAATAGAAAGGATTGGGTTTATCTTCATGGTAATAGGGGGTAGGGGGTCAGCTTGTGCGGACTGGATGGAGGAAATAGTGTTTAGGATTTTATATGCAGGCGATGAGTCACAATAACGTGGCTGAAGTATGTTGACCAGACCACACACTAGAAGTTGAAGGGACGACGACGTTTCGGTCCGTCCTGGACCATTCTCAAGTCGATTGTGAAACGTCGTCGTCCCTTCAACTTCTAGTGTGTGGTCTGGTCAACATAGGATTGTATAGTTCTAAGCACCCATTCCACCTTCCACGTAATGGAAGGTGGGTGCACAAGGGGTGACTGAGGAGACAACTCTGGTTGGCACAACAGTAACGGTCCATCTCTTGCCTGTGGGCGCCATCACAGGGATAGTTTTATTATGAGCAAAGCAAAGGAAATGGTAAAGTAGTTAAAGGATTGCATAAAGTTTGGGAAAGCCAAAGGTGTGGGAAATTTCACTTCAGAGAAATATATACTCTAACATTATGTGTTGTATGTAGGAACTCCACATGGATAATGGACCATGTGTCGTACTGAGCTACAAATAGCAAAACCACATGGTCGATAAGATATTATATCTAGAATCACGCAAGCCCAAGGCAAGATCGCCAACAACAGTTTACTGGAACAGCAGTAAATTGTGTCTCAGTGATGACACATCAGTTTTAGAAAGGAATACGTAATCAGAATACTAAACAATCATCTTAAAATTACTCCTACTTTAATCCTTTAGATAAAATCTAACTCAAAGATATTATTCTTCACTAGGAAAAATAATAACAAATCAAAGTTGAATGTAATGAAACGCCAATTTCTGCGTGAGCCTTGGTGACTCCGTAAAGCTACAGTGCCAAACTACTAGGTGCCATCAGTTGCGGAGTTTGTTTAGGCCTACCAGGGACCACGAGCCAGAACCTGGCCCCCCCTACTGAGGCACAGACAGCAGCGGCATTATGATAAAATTGTCAGTGAATATTAATAATTTCCGCCACCACCAGTGAAGCACCTACATAGTCAGCGAAACAAAACGGACCACTGCTGGTTATATATATATATATATATATATATATATATATATATATATATATATATATATATATATGTCGTACCTAGTAGCCAGAACGCACTTCTCAGCCTACTATGCAAGGCCCGATTTGCCTAATAAGCCAAGTTTTCAAGAATTAATTGTTTTTCGACTACCTAACCTAACCTAAGTTTTTCTTTTACCTAACCTAACCTATAAAGATAGGTTAGGTTAGGTTAGGTAGGGTTGGTTAGGTTCGGTCATATATCTACGTTAATTTTATCTCCAATAAAAAAAAATTGACCTCATACATAATGAAATGGGTAGCTTTATCATTTCAAAAGAAAAAAATTAGAGAAAATATATTAATTCAGGAAAACTTGGCTTATTAGGCAAATCGGGCCTTGCATAGTAGGCTGAGAAGTGTGTTCTGGCTACTAGGTACGACATATATATATATATATATATATATATATATTAGTATATTTTGGTAGCAGTCTTTCCTGTAGACATATTTTATTAAATATGACCGAAAAAGTAAGATTAATAATTCTAACACGAATTTTCTCAATCTTTCGTACATTATGCTTCACTGTTGGAGGTAAATCAAAAATCACTTCTCCAAAATTCATTTTTATTTCTAGTCTGACGCGACACGGGCGCGTTTCGTAAAACTTATTACATTTTCAAAGACTTCACAAATACACAACTGATTAGAACTTGCGTTTCCCTGATTTTATATCTACATTTGAGTGAGGTGGGAAGGGTGATGTGGCATTACATTTGAGTAAGGTGGGAAGGATGATGTGGCATTAGAGGATATTAATAGGGTATTAAAAGTATCAACACAAGACAGAACACGAAACAATGGATATTGAATAGAAGTGTTTGTAGAAAGCCTATTGGTCCATATTTCTTGATGCTTCTATATTGGAGCGGAGTCTTGAGGTGGGTAGAATATAGTTGTGCAATAATTGGCTGTTGATTGCTGGTGTTGACTTCTTGATGTGTAGTGCCTCGCAAACGTCGAGCCGCCTGCTATCGCTGTATCTATCGATGATTTCTGTGTTGTTTACTAGGATTTCTCTGGCGATGGTTTGGTTATGGGAAGAGATTATATGTTCCTTAATGGAGCCCTGTTGTTTATGCATCGTTAAACGCCTAGAAAGAGATGTTGTTGTCTTGCCTATATACTGGGTTTTTTGGAGCTTACAGTCCCCAAGTGGGCATTTGAAGGCATAGACGACGTTAGTCTCTTTTAAAGCGTTCTGTTTCGTGTCTGGAGAGTTTCTCATGAGTAGGCTGGCCGTTTTTCTGGTTTTATAGTAAATCGTCAGTTGTATCCTCTGATTTTTGTCTGTAGGGATAACGTTTCTATTAACAATATCTTTCAGGACCCTTTCCTCTGTTTTATGAGCTGTGGAAAAGAAGTTCCTGTAAAATAGTCTAATAGGGGGTATAGGTGTTGTGTTAGTTGTCTCTTCGGAGGTTGCATGGCTTTTCACTTTCCTTCTTATGATGTCTTCGATGAAACCATTGGAGAAGCCGTTATTGACTAGAACCTGCCTTACCCTACAGAGTTCTTCGTCGACTTGCTTCCATTCTGAGCTGTGGCTGAGAGCACGGTCGACGTATGCGTTAACAACACTCCTCTTGTACCTGTCAGGGCAGTCGCTGTTGGCATTTAGGCACATTCCTATGTTTGTTTCCTTTGTGTAGACTGCAGTGTGGAAACCTCCGCCCTTTTCCATGACTGTTACATCTAGAAAAGGCAGCTTTCCATCCTTTTCCGTCTCGTAAGTGAAACGCAGCACGGAACTCTGCTCAAATGCCTCCTTCAGCTCCTGCAGATGTCTGACATCAGGTACCTGTGTAAAAATGTCGTCAACATACCTGCAGTATATGGCCGGTTTCAAGTTCATGTCGACTAAGACTTTTTGCTCGATGGTACCCATGTAGAAGTTTGCAAACAGGACACCTAGGGGAGAACCCATAGCGACCCCATCTACTTGCTTATACATGTGCCCATCCGGGCTCAAGAAGGGTGCCTCTTTAGTACAAGCTTGGAGTAGTTTCCTCAGAATACTTTCTGGCATGTCAAGAGGAGTACAGGCTGGATCACGATACACTCTGTCGGCTATCATTCCGATTGTCTCGTCCACAGGTACGTTGGTAAACAGCGATTCTACGTCCAACGAGGCTCTTATCCCTGTGGCCCGTGCGCCCCGCAGTAAGTCCACAAATTCCTTTGGAGACTTCAGGCTGAAGGCGCAAGGAACATAAGGAGTCAGCAGGCCGTTGAGTCGCTTCGCCAATCTGTACGTGGGTGTGGGTATCTGGCTAATGATTGGCCGAAGTGGGTTTCCAGGCTTGTGCGTCTTGACATTTCCATACGCATATCCAGGTTTATATTCCCCAATGATCTTTGGCAGGTGGAGTCCGGATTTCTTGGCGTTCACAGTTTCGATCAGTTTGTTGACCTTTGCTTTTAATTCGGCTGTAGTGTCCTTCGTTACCCTTTGGAACTTAGTTTGGTCAGAGAGTATGATGTTCATTTTCGCCAGATATTCGTCTTTTTTAAGAATGACATATATTGGCGACTTGTCACCTCTCCTGACAACTATCTCCTTGTTCTCACGAAGGCTTTTAGCTGCCGCTCTAAGCTCGGGGGACAGTATGGTGCTTCTGTAGTTGCCTCGATTCTTTCCTCCTTCTGCAATAAGTTCTGCTTGTAAGGTATCTTTGGTGGTGACCTTCTTTTGTGTCTCGAGGTCGAATATGTCGTCCAACAGAATTTCCAACTCCACTTTCCGGGCCATTTCACTCGGTCTGGACATAACATGACAGTTTATGCCCAGATTTAGGAGAGTGACTTGGTCCTCAGTGAGGTTAATTCCTGCAAGGTTCAGGAAGCCATCTCTTGGTCGTGGAATTGCCATAGGTCCTCCATATAATGTTGTTAGTTTCTTGATAATCCTTGTTTCAGTGCTGAGGTGATGTTGGTCTGTGAGGATGTCGAGGTGTTGTTCAATGCGGGTACGGATACTATGGTCGATGTTGCTATTTCTCCACTCGTTTGTAGCATGAAGTAGTTGCGTTTTTTTGTCTTTGATTTCATTCTCTGCCTTGTATATCTGATCACGAATCAGATCCTGGCGATATTTTATCGTGAAGGCTTGATTCCTTGCTGCTGGGTCGTGCACTTTAACATTAGTATATTTTGGTAGCAGTCTTTCCTGTAGACATATTTTATTAAATATGACCGAAAAAGTAAGATTAATAATTCTAACACGAATTTTCTCAATCTTTCGTACATTAT